TCTTAGGGTAGTGGCAGTGAGGGGGGCGGGTCCCTGTACTGGCAAAGCAGTCAGTGACGCTGACGTCACGAGCACTGTTGTGGCAATTGTGCACAGAGGGGCTGCTGGTACAGGGCACTGATGGAGTGCTGCAGAATTCTGCTATGGTGGCCAGATCTTCATGAATAAAGGTGTTGATCTGCTTGCATTTACCCCTATGGATCAACCACCGTCGCCTCATCATTACATCACAGTATCTGTGGTGTCCTCCAGGGACCCACGACCTGGGGTTGTCTATATGTCGCGTTGAGAAGGGCCGAGCTGGAGTGAAGACAGCGAGATCCAGGAGGAAGAGGAGGAAGGTCCACATCAGATTCATGTCCCCTGTGAAAGCAGGTCAACGAAGAACAGGGTCAGAGAGAAGCCATGGTCCCTTTGCCCCGAGGTACCTGCTTCTAAGAATTGAACCAAACACTTGATGTGGTCAATTCTTCCCTTCTTCCTCTACACAGTTCTGTGTATTTATGGAAATATCCTCCTTGTTCCTCACACCCCTACCTTTATCTGAATAAGAGTGAAGAGAGGAGAGGAGTGAGTTGTCAATGAATGAAGAAGTGGCTACCACCCCCTTTACCTCTTTATTTTTTTTAATTTATTCATTTATTCTAAGTTGACCACAGAGAAACAGAGAGAAAGAGAGAGAGAAAGCAAGCCACCATGTCCGGGACTCGAACCATGGTTGACCATGTGGGAGTGTCCAACACCTTAACCACCATGCCACCTGCTGTCCCCCCCCTTTACCTCTTTATGGGCTTGTTGTACAAGGTTATTTCCAAACTCTGAAGTAATTCTTGCCCCTTATCTAAGCAGACCAGATAACCAAACCTTCATCTCTAAATGGTTTACAGCCCATCTCATTACAAGTCCTCGGAGGTGAAGCAGGTATAACCGTCAACCCCTTTCTATTTTACAAGGAGCTCATCTTGAAGGGACCTGACAGATCCATATGCCTTACATCTTGAAAAATAATTTCACTTATTTAAATAGGTATATGTTTTAAACACTTGTTTTTAATGTAAACATTTCAATTCTCAGGGAGTGGGGTTCATGCTTCCCCCACATAGTTCTCTGCCTCACAGTAAAGATTCCTAACTCTCTCTTGCGTGGAGCCCATCTCTGAGAAACTTCCCAACTCCTGGTGCTCAGAGTTTCTGAATAAATGAGTGTGAGCCTTCTGTCTCTGAGTCTAACAGTCTGAACTTTTCTTTGAATACCTGGGAATGCCAGGACAGGATTTTCTACAGAGCAGATGACATCCACATGGACAAGCATGTCCCTTTCAGAGGTGCATATTCCTAGCATTAAAAGGACCTTCCATTGTCTCTCTCCTTTCTCTAATCCTGTAGAGATGACATGGTGGATATTTTCTTCCCAGACCTTAGGACAGATGCCATGTGGGAAATTCTCAGGCTGAATGATCTTAAACAGATTGCCAAGGAGGACTAATTTCATGTGTACTATTTCACACTTAAAATGTTTACCAGCATCACACAAAGTGCCTATGACATCACTGCAATTATACAGAAACCTGCAGTTGCAGTGCAGTCTATCACAAGCTTGCTTTTGGAGCTTGGCAAATCACTCTAAGTAAGGATTTGGACTGAAGATGGCTTTCAATTCTGACATTCTCTTTCAGTCCCTAATTATGTATATCTTGTGTGTAGGCGTCCATGTGTGATTTTGTGTATATTGGTTCACACATGTTCGTGTACAGAGAAACAGTTTGCAAACTGAGTCTTCATTTGAGAAGTGTTAATCCAATTAATTTTAACATTTCTTAAAAACACTTTTAAGTGGGGCTGGCAGGTGGTGTGAGGGTTGGAGGTGCTGGATTCTCACATGGCCCACCACGGTTTAAGTCCCAGACCTGGCGGCTTCCTTTCTTGCTTCTCTCTCTCACCGGTCAAATTAAAAACTAATAATAACAAATGGAATTAAACAAATAAATAACCCTTGAAAAAACAGTTGTAAGTAAAATTAGATCTAAAAAATTAATCACTTTCATGTTAAGATTACGTTGTTTTATATCTTTACCATTACAATCATGAGTGTTTTCATTGTGGAAGATGCTGTCTGGAGCACAATACAGAAAGGGAAGAAATTAGTTCATACAACGGGCTTCCAAAGTTCATGGAAAAGTAGAATTTAAAGGTAATAGGATTTCTTTGCCAACTTTTCGAGGCATCCTCATACATTCTCTCGGAACTTCAAAATCAGCTAAGGTTGGGAACCTGCTAGTGAAGGTAAAGATTTATTTTTGTTTGGGGCCAGCAGGTGGTGTGGCTAAGGGCGCTGGACTCCCACATGGCTGACTGCAGTTTGAGTCCCGGACCTGGTGGCTTGATTTCTCACTTTCCATCTCTCTCTCTCTCTTTCTATCCCCTCTCTGGTCAAATTAAAATAAAGTTAAATAAAATAATTTCTTTTTAAAAAAAGATTTACTTTTGTCTGATGGCCTTCAAAGGAAATATGAAAGAGGCCCCATAACAAGAAGAAGGAAGGCATCAGACCACTTCACTGAATCGAAGAGACCAGAGAGAGCCCAACACAGCAAATGTCTTTTGAACTTAAGAAAGTTAACTCTCACCCCATTCACTGCAATTAAATTGAACTACACCATGTGATTATGACAATCCTTAAAGTAGTATTCATTGTCCTTCCCATAGACAGGTGCTGTATGAGGAAAAGCACGTACAGGAAAGTATTGGTGGCTTACCCTCCCTGTCCGCAGATTAAGCAGAAACATTACAAGAGTACTCCAGGGATGGAGAAATTGCATGTGTTGGGCATTATATTTTCGCACATGACTCTTACACAAACAAGACATTGATCCACCCTAAAACCAATATACTCAACAGTGGTTTTTACCAAAAATGTAGAAGGTTCTTCTGAGACAATATTTTACAATGTTCACTTTTTTAAAAATTACTTAATTCGAGCATCCCCTTGGCACACCGGTTAAGTGCTTTGCTTAGAAAACCAGATCCCATATAATTGATGGTCGTTTCAATTCTGCCCCAGCTGTTTGAAACACAGGCAGGGTGCCTGTGCAGACATGTCTGAAATCCTGACAGGATGAAGGAATGGAAGAAAAAAGAATTGCAGTGTGGCCACACCCCATGGGATGTTCTCTCTCCCTCTCCCTCCCTCTCTCTTTCTCCACCCCTTTGATGAATATATGTGCCAACTGGCAATTTAAAAAATGACTTAATGATACCTAGGGCATAATTCTGGCCATTGCTCTCAGTGGAAGATATGGATCAGCTCAGGAAATTTGCCACTAAATTGGGCTAGAAGGAAAGGCTAATAAAACAACAAAGAACTCATGAGAAGTGTTTTTTATCTGTTAAAGACAAAATCACATGGCTGGATCCACATGGCCAACTTCACGGTTTGAGTACTGGACACAGTAGCTAGCAAAACAGGCCAGGTGCATGTACACGGGTGTCCACAATCCTGAGAGGAGAAAGGATTGCTGCGTGATTATCCTGTCTGGGGGTGTTCTCACTTTCCCTCTCTTTTTTCTCTCTGCTTCTCTCTGGTAAATGCATGTGCCCTGTAGAAGAAGAGGAGGAGGAGGAGGAGGAATGATAACCTCATAACAGACTGTTTTGTAGAAAGCAGCACAGAAAGACTTTCCTCTGGGTGTTCTTGGTTTATGCGGTTTTACACAATGAAGACAATAATTAGCACAAGAATTTAAAAAGAGGAAGTGAATGAAATGAAAGAGAAACAAATCCTCAAATATACATGATAAACTATTACCTATTGGATTTTGAGCATAAAGAAATTCATAGCTCAGGTTTCCAGCATAGAGTGGTGATAGATGGAGAATATTTGTCTAAAAGGGAGTCAGGGATATTACCAAAAAGTATAGGGAAACTGGGTTCCTCTATTTTTTCTGAGTACAAGACCTGCCTTTATGGTCCACGGTCTGTCAGTGCCCGGTGAAGCAGAGTTACAAAATCTTTGGTCATCCTACAACTAGTATATATTTTTCACCAATGGTTTCACATCCAACCAGCAAAACCCTGCACTGCACAGAACTGGGTCCCTTGCAGTAGAAGCACCAGGGCCACCCGTCCTTGGGTACTTGGTCAGCTAAGCAATCGAATGTTGTACAAACAGGTCATTTGCAATCTATGGGTTTCTGCATGGCCAAGACTCAGAACCCTCTGGTTCTGCTGGCCCCACCCACAGGGACTGCTCTATATCTGCAGTCCCAAGGAAGGGGCACGAGCCATCCCTGAGCCCAGGACAACCAGCTGGATCTGTTCTCATAGAAGCTACAGCACCGAGGCTGGGTAAGACTGACCCCTGGAGCTGGGCAGGAGGGGCAGTCATGGGGCAGCAACTGAGGGAGGTGGCTGAATTAGTGCAGGGTGCTTGGTATACTTTGGGGATAGGAATAGAAAGGAAATGGGAGCCCAGAATGACGACAGAGAGCCCCGCAGAGTGAGACACAAGAGTAAGTCATTGCTGGGCCAGGATGTACTTCATTCTCTTCTCTTCTTAGGAAACATGTTTCCAAAACACCGTGATTCACAACTTTGTCTTCTGCTGGGCCTCTTGAGTATGGTAGGCTCATTCCATGCTGTACTCGGCCAGTTTACCCCAGCTCAGTGGTTTGAAGTCCAGCATATAAATATGACTCACCGCAGATGCGACGATGCAATGAAAGCAATTAACAAATATTCACTATTTTGCAAAAACAAAAATACTTTCCTCCATACAACTTTTGCTGATGTGGCTAATAATGTTTGTCGCACTCAGTATGTAAATTGCAGTTCAAGTACTAGTACGTATTGTCACAGAAGCCCAGGACCAGTGCCTATGACCTTCTGCAACCTCGTGAAATCATCAGGGTCGTATAAACAGTGTAAATATCAACAGAAAGGGGAAACGAAGGAATACATTGTTCTATGTGAATACAGAGCTCCACAGGACAATAACACGTATGCGGTGGTTCCTATTCACTTGGATAAGGTCCTCTAAGCTCCGGAGCCAGCATATGCCATGCTCATGTGCCAAGCCTGTCCCAGCTGTTGTCCTGTCCCACCATCCTTCTAGATGCCAGCATCGGTCCTCCTCACGTCTGCCCTGAACTTCCTTTAAGCTTTGCTGAGCTGAATCATCCTGCAATCCTTGCAATAAATTTCTTTGCAGAATCATCCTGAAGTCTCTGCGTGTCTGATTTTGCTCCTCAACTGCCACATGTTTACAATAAATTCTAGAGAATTTCATCTTCCTTTAATCTGACATTTGCCGATAAATGAGGTGTGAGGGTAAGAGTCTCCATGTTTCATGAAGGTCACAGACTTTTTCCTCCCCCTGCCTCATGCCAAGAAGACTGAGGCTTCAACAGATATCTTCCTACTTCTATTTCAGGAGGTACAGGGTCTCCAATGAATAAGTGGAAGAGATAGCGGTGGGTGACTGTCCCCCATGGGGGGTTGTTTTCTCTCTTTCTCTCCCCCTCTGTCTCTGTGGCAAGTGCACACACCCTCTGGCTAAAAAAATAAATACAAATAAATAAAAAAGACATTCTTTTCACTCAATAGCTTTTTCCTAATGTTTGAATTTACATGATTACCATATGCATGTATATGTATTTCATATGTATATAACAAATGTGTGTGTGTGTGTGTGTGTGTGTGTATTAAATACAATCACTGGTAGAAAGTGCAAACAATGAAAAGGTGTTCGAACAACCTTTAAGCCATAATAGGGGCCAGCAGGTGATGTAGAGCTTAAGGTGCTGGACTCCCACATGGCCAGCCATGGTTCAAGTTGGCCATAGACCAGCAGCTTGAAACTCATGCCAGGTGCATGTGCGTGCATGTTCAAAATCCCAGGAGGAGAATGCAGGAAAAGGGATTGCAGCGTGGCCATGGGGGTGATTTCTCACTTTCCCTTGCACTTCCTCGTTCTCTGTGTCTCTCCAGCAAGCACATGTGGCCTATGGTACAAACCCAAAAATAAAGGCATAATAATGTGCATTTGGTGATCTGAAATGCTGAGGCTGAAGAAACATCCATCTCTCATTTCCCTGGGGAGAGAACCAGAGAGCACTGTAGCTGTTCCTCACTCTGCATCCTGTTCTCATCCTTCTCTCCAGTCACGTGGCGGCAAAGAGGTTGTGGTATCCCAACTGATACTGATTATGTCATGGGGTTTAGCCTGGTAAATCCTCCCCTTCTCACTTTGGAGAAAGTGTGACTGTCCCAAGGCAACAGGAGGAGGGAGACAGGGTTTATGAGGAACTGTTTAAGAACCTTGTGCTTTGGAAGGTGATTTGCTCTGATACTGAAATCCTCCGAGTTCATTCGCCTGAACTTTTCCTCAGTATTACTGAAAAGGTATTTGAACGGTCCAGCTCATCTTGGAACAGACAAAAAGCTCCACTCCACCCAGACAGAAGTCCTGGCCCCACAGCGTCACCTGCTGGCCAGTGCGGTAATGGTCTTAAAGACTGACCAAACAGTCTGGGGATCTCTGCTCTGTACGTCGCTCCTGATCAAGGCTTTTTCCTGGGCTGTGCCACGTACATCCGCGCTTTGCTCTTACACGATAGGCCTCATTCTGCCCACTGTCCCTTCAAGACACCCTTCCAGGAACCTGCTCTGGTTTCTGCATTGGAAAATCAGTAGTGGAGAAGAGGCCCGAGGGTGTTAAAGAAGAGCGTGGATAATCAGATGCCGAGGATGCTCAGAGCGTGGCACTGGTGGAGCCGTATTAGAGCACCTCGAGGGTATGAGAGCCCGGTGAGCCAGAGAGCTCCATCCTCTGGAGGGGAAGTGGTGTCCAGCGGCTGTCAACGGGGACGCAGAGATGACCCAGGTACAGCCTCTGCTCCTCAGGCAGTTTCTGCGCAGAAGTCTCGGTACCCGAGGTGAAGGATAGCGCGTGCGCAGTAGGGA